TCCATATCTATTTGTTCGAAATTTTCAGTATCAATTATTTTTAAGAAGGTAATTTGTGCCTCCTACATTTTCTTGTGCTGGTGAATAAAACAAAATAGAACTATTTTCTTGAACGATTTGACTCTTCCACTTTTAAATATAGCTTAAAAAGAACTAGAATATGTATTTGTGGCTCCTAATTGTCTATGAGCAGATCCACACTGTGTAATGAATACAGTCGCATTCACTTCTTGGTTGTAATTAAACTAAAATTTTCAGAATATATTTATACAAATTTACACTCATTGACAAATTAAAAAGATTAGCAAACATAATAATACTTCAAAACAACTAATTTAATTTGGATTTTTTCCAACATATTGGGTATATCTGTATTCATGTTTATCTTAATTATTGGCTTAGTGTAAATGGCAAAAGGGGACATTAGAATGGTTTTATAAATAGCTAATAATATTGAGACGGTTATGAATTCTATTTAATTTCTTATATTTAATCAAACATTATGAATTCTATTTAATTTCTTATATTTAATCAAACATCCCAAATTCATTTATTTCAACTACAGTAAATGATCTTTTCATATAATTTTTTCTCTAATTTATCGGAGTTAACATTGATATTTGATAAATAAGTGGGACTTTTACACATCTAACGAATACATATGTGCAGATTCAATTATAATATAAATTTGAGTTTCACCAAAAGGTTTAACAACAATAATTAAGGCAAATCTTCCCAGACTTAAGATCTTCTAAGATTAAGGAATCTTATCTAAGTTCATTTAGTTAATTATATGTTTCCTTGAGGTGATCTATAAATTTTAAAAATATTATCACAAAAGAACGAGGATGACACCATTAAGATAATTTAAAATGATTCATAAATTAAAATGAGAGCACATTAATTACGGATAAGTATTTAAAAGTATGCCATACAACCACTTCGATATTTCTGAATTTTGGAGCTTTCTAACAGCATCCCATTTTAAATTTTTGTTACTACTAGTTTTTACATCAAATCTATTTCGAATAAAACAATCCAGTCAAAAATACTAGTGGTATATGGATAAAACCTTTTACAAGTTTTTAAGAGCAAATATATATCTCTTGAATATCACAGCTCAGATCTTCGCGAACAATTGAATAACTTTTGAAGTAACTTGGTAAATTATTATGAGTTTAAGTTTTATATATTAAGAGCCTACAAATTATTTACATATTCAAGTCGCTAATAATGTAATTACAAGTAAATCTCCATAATACACATTAATCCGTAACCTGATACAAATGCTAACAAACTTGTTGTCGCAGGTTAAACAAAACAGATAATTAGTGTCAATGCATATAATTCACATCCAGTTATTTATTACACTAAAAATTACACCAATTAATTATCTAATTACCAAATATCTTACTTCTCATAAAAGTTGCAAGAATAAAAAAGGTCCTACAATATAATCTTATATCTAACCATCCCATTAAGGTCTATATAAATCGATATTCCTAAGTCCTTATAACGTCAAATTGAAAAAATAACTCCACATATAATTAACATGGAGGGAAATTCTTCAAGAGGAAAAAAGGCCATGCAAGAGAAGGAAAGTAGCAACAACAAAGGGAAGGAAGAAGTGAAATACCGCGGCGTTCGAAGGCGGCCGTGGGGGAAATTCGCGGCGGAGATACGTGATCCGACGAGGCCGGGTTCCCGGCAGTGGCTCGGGACGTTCGACACGGCGGAGGAGGCAGCTAGGGCTTATGATAGGGCTGCATTTAACCTAAGAGGACATCTTGCTACTTTAAATTTCCCTAATGAGTATTATAATCAACTCCAATATCCTCCTTTATATTATCGTAACTCAATTTCTTCACCAACAAATGTTGCTTCAAGTCCAAGAGGAAGTTTAGAGAATGGAAATTCATCATCATCAACTGGGAAAGCTAAAGAAATTATTGAGCTTGAGTGTCTAGATAATAGTGTTCTAGAGGAGCTTCTTGGTGCAGAAGACTCAAAAGTGAAGAGAAAGTAAGGTTAAGGTTTGTAAACTTTTCTTTGGGATTTTACACCCAATGTCCGGTACCTGCTTTAGGGCTCGACTAATTTGAATTTGTGCCGTGTAAGGCCTATTAAAGGGGGAAATGTTCTATATCAGAAATTTATCTTAGTTTCTTGATGTTCATTATCAAAATTCTTCATCTTTTGTTTCATCAGAAGTTCTTTTTTCTTCTTTAATTTCCCATAATTTATTGTTCAGTTTAAGCTTATCAATTATTCTGAGCCGAGAGTCTTTCGGAAATAGTCTCTCTACCTCCCAAGGGTTAGGTAAAGTCTGCATACACATTGCCGTCCCCAGACCCCACTGAGTTTGTTATTGTTTGTTTAGTTTAAGCTTATCAATCATCATAAACAACATGTTAGGTGTTGTTATCAAAACTTTTATTTAATATTTTATTGGAAAACCAAAAATGGAGCATTTGAGGTTTGCTATTGATTTTGATTTCTACATTTCTTGATATTTGATAGGAGCTGAACTGTAATGGTATCTTTCTTGAGAATGTGAATTGCCCAAACAGTAAGTTCAGACGTATATTTATTCTTTATTTTTTGACATATGAAGGACTAAGCGAACTTTAATTTATTCGTCGAATAAGTCAAAAACAAAATATGATAAGATAATCAGATAATTTGAAACAATTAATGAAGTGGATAATCTAAATAATTAGTGAGATATATTTGTCCTTTAGTTTCAATTTCTGTAAACTGAGATTTTCTTTTTTCTTTTTTTCACCCAAAAAACGTGATTATATGTAACCGACTAAAAGTTGGTTCAAACTTCAACTAAACGTAAGAGATCTATATTTTTACACGTAAGAGGTTCATTTTCATAATTTTAAAATTATAAAGGAACATGATGCAACATTTCCTCTAATGTAACTGATCAAAAGGGCAGGGAAGAAAGCCTTGCATTACCAATACAAAGTGACAAAAAAAAAAATAAACAAAACAAATGGGATAAAGAAAATAAATGCCTATAATCTTGTGCAAAATAAGGAAGTCCGATGAATTGTTTTGCAACGTAAAAACTGTTCCTTTTTAGTGAAATCACTGTGCGATAAAGAGTGAATCACTTTATGATTATTCTCTTTTGACTCATTCAAAGTTCCGTAGGACTAATCAAGAATCCATCTATAGGAAAGAATAAAGGTCAAAATGAACACACAGGGAGATGCTATTTTTTTTTAGTTTCCGATACCAAATACTCATTTTGGAGTCCGGCTAAATCTAGATTCACACCGAAAGTCCTATATTGAGGGGGTAATACGCTTCACTTCATACTTAAGCTCAAAACAAAGACCTCTGGTTAATTATGTATAAATGAATACTTACTGCAATACCACAACACCACAATTTTTGTTGGTCAAAGTGATGAGATTTCAATAGTAAAAAGGGGATTATTGTCTATATTCAAGATTAAGGTAAGCAATTTGTCTGTTTAATTTTGACCAATCGCAACTTCGTCATTTTATCAACTTTTAGATGGTGATAACATTCGTGGTTTCGAATATATGATTTTCTTTAAAGAAACTCTGAATCTTCTTTTTTAAGATTACGTGCATGGGGAACATGGTGATACCATGAAAAAGTTATGCTTAACTGAAGTTGGAATGGTATCTAAGTACGACTAATTAAGCAAAATATCCAACGCGACCTTTACTACTAAAGTTATTATAAGTTAAATTTATCATTTTACTTTTTTTGTTATTTCCCTAAATAAACACTGTGATTAGCATATTCAGATCACGATATCATCCTTCTCACCCTTCGTCGCTCAACCATCAAAACGTGGTATATAATTAATATTTTTTTTTTTGTGGTTGAGAAACACATATTAATATTGGATATTGTTGCACCCGAGCCTGCTGTCGAATCCTTTGTAGTTTTGCAATCCCATCTATCTATAACTAAAAGTTGCTAAATTCGGGTCATCTTTAATAGGATTGGATTAAGTTTGGATAGATTGAGTCCCATTTAATGGATGTATATCACATTGAGAATTGACTCGTTGATCAATGACATACAACGCCTGGTATCATTAAGTTATTCGTGTTCCTTAATTATATGACAATCACATATGAAAGTACAAGAGGGGCGTATTCATGTACGCATGTTACAAATTTAGTCGACTATAGTTTAGACTTAATCAATTAATACGGAGATAGCCTGCACAAAATTATTAGTCCTTTCGATTCAAACAAGTGTAAATCACAACAAACAGTAAAGGGCTAAAAATAATATGAGAGCGATAAAGTAAATGACAGAAGAAATTTTTATATTGGTTCGGAATCAATGTGGTATCCTAATCCAGTCCTCTTGGGTTGCAAGAGTGTTATCTTTTAGAGCTCTTTGTAAATTGGGTTGAGTACAAGTTTTATGGTTTCTAGCGTTCAACACCAACGTTTACAAGGGTTTTCACTCGCTCACCAACAACAAACAAGCAAGAAATCGGACCTTTTGTGGCGACCTTTGTCGCTACAACAGCCCAAAAAGTCGCCGCTACAAGTTATTAGTAGCAACCTTAAGGCTGCTGCAAGTAACTACTTTACTGAATGTTTATTGTGACGATTCTTTTAGGGTCGCCACAAAAACAACCCATTTGTTGCGACTATACTCCTCGCTAAAAGCAGACATGTACGTAACAAAAAAGGTTCCACAATATAGATTTAAAGTGGGTTGCCGCTGAAGAATGACTTGTAGTAACGACTATAGTCGCCACTAAAGCACTATTATCTTCAGTGGAAACTATTGTCGCCACAATATCCTAAGGTTTAGTAGCAGTCTTGGTCGCCACAATTACTAACCGTTTCAGTGACAACGTTTGGTCGCCACTAATACATTTTTTTCAACTACTATATTTCCAAAATTCTATCATTTTCAGTGACACCCTAATTATAAGATTAATATACATGTATTTTTATACCATTTGACAACAAATACCAAAAATATTTGTTAAACTGAATATTATAGATGCTTCCATTACCAAAATGTCAAATAATATGTACTACACAATAATTCATCATTCATTGTCAATGTATCCATAAACATATGATAAGAAAAATAATAACTAGGATTTAGGGCCTCCAAACTCCTCCACGATCGACAACATTTGTGATTGATTAAGAGCCTCATCCCTGATATTAAGGAAGAAAAATAGGAGATCACTTTGACAATTTTTATAATTTGATTCTAATAGAAAAAGGGTGGCCACAATATATAGGAATAAAAGAGCGCAAAATGCATTATAAAAAGCAAAGGGAAAGTTTGACCAAGAATGTTAAGTCTCAAGCCGTGTAATAGTTATACTAGGTACATGCATGAGCAAAATTAGTTAAGAAAACAGTCAAAGGCTGCAGAAATTATACAATAGCCTTCAGTAATTTCAGTTCTTTTTTCAATTGGGACCGGCAATCCCTAAGTAAGAACACTTACCAGTTATTCTAATAAGTACCACAACGCATAGCAAAACTCGAACCAAATTGAAAAACTCTGAATTAAAATCCAGAAGTGAGGCCAAGAACTCGGAAGAAAGGAGAAAGTAACGTAAGACAAGGAGAGCTCTGGAAGACTACAGCGAATTCTTTAAAGTATGGGTATGGATATGAAGGTAGAAGACAGGTGCAAAATAGGTGTCACCTACACGTATTAGAAATTGCGGATTTACCCTTGGTCGTCCAAGGAACCTTCACTTATTAATAAGCTAAATAACCTCAACACCTCCAACACCACATTTATCCTTCATGTCAACAACAAAATTACTTATTTGATATAGGATCTCAATCAATTCCTAATCTTTTCGCCAATACAAGTATCCCCAAGGCCTTTCTCTGCTAACAAAACAAACTGCAACAATAAAACAACAATAACCCACAAATAACAACATCAACAACAATCACCCAGTATAATCCCACAAGTGGGATTTGGGGAGGGTGGGATGTACGCAGTCTTACCCCTACCCTGGAAGGGCAGAGAGACTGTTTCGATAGACCCTCGGCTAAAGAAGGTGAAAGAAGCCCTGATAGCAAGTAATAGCAAGACAAATAATTAGAAAACTAAATCGAAAATAGCAATAAAGAATATGAAAGGGGTACTGATAACAAATATGCTTCAATTACATGATTTGCAAAATTGAAGGTTTTACACAAAAGGAATGGCAACTTTGAAATACAAGAACAAGTAACAATGGAGTCATAACTTGCACATATGATTAGATTGATTGATCTAACCATAACTGAAATATCACCTATCAAAAAAGGAAGAAAAGAAAAAGAAAAGAAACCTTAATGGAAACATCTAAAGTTCATAACAAAATGCAAAAGCCTGCATAGTGATGGTTTGTGTAATCAGAGTAACGCATTCAAACCTGCTGCCATGTGGTATCAACAGGAGGCTGTCTACGGGCATCAATCGCATCAAAATCAAGGATCCCATAGTCCCTTAGACGGATCTGAGGTAAGGAAAAACAGTCATGCTAATGCCGGTCATAGAAAATGAAAAACAATCTCCACAATGCTATAACCATGGAAAATGATATATGCAAGCCTCCCAAAACGAAGATTGCAGATTACTAATGACATGCTAAAAAGAGATGCCAAACTAACCCTGAGAAATGCGCGGATTCGCTGCAAATAACCAACAGCACCACCAAGTGCGGCCTACAATAGTCAATACGAAATACTCCTATGTCCCAAAAAAGAAAGACCAAGATTGGTGAACGACGGTCAAAGTATGTCATTTTATACGTTCATTTGAGCATCAATTCCTCAAATTTTAAATAAATAAACCTTTTTAGAGACAACGTAAAAACTACCATAAATCACATTTGCTAAATTTAAAAGTACTTTGATATGTTTGAAAAAATAAATTAATAAGAGTTATGCCTCTTCAAATAGTAACAGCATCATCATACGAAGTAGGACAAGCAGAGCATATCATTTTTTATTTTTTGATGAGCAGGCAGAGAGTATGACACTGTGTCTTGTGTACTACGGTATTTCAATCTTGTCTGAGTTTTTCGCCTTTCATGCATGTTTTTTTTCTAATATACTACTCTTATTTGTCCATAGAAAACTACAACATAAACAATTCAAGTACATCTTTCCCTTTGACTTTTGTTAGATGACTGGACAGAATTCATAGAATCCAAGTACTTTGCAACTATTCTGTTTCAAGCCCCCAGGTCACAATCTTCATGTTCTTTTAATTAGGTGTAATTGGCATCTTAGTTCTCTAATTACATAATAAATCAATACCAAATATAATCACAAAAACTAAATAGAAGAAATACACTAGCTTCGCAGGAGGGAGGAACCAAGCCATGAAGAGCCAAGCTGGGGAACTTACTTTGAAGGGAAAACTACGCTCTCTTGCACTATTGAGATTCTTGACAATTTCTCCATATGCAGCAGCTTTTTTCTCAACGATGGCCTATTGGCTAATGGTACAGACTCCACACTAGCTGGACCGGAAGAAATCTGAGAGCTATATGTCAAAGATGCTATTTGCCCCTAACGACCACCTAAAGGGCTTGATTCACTGATATTAGTCCTAGGTAAGGTAGAAATTCAGCTTAGGCTCTGGAGGAAGTCCCCTTTTTCCTTCTTCCAGTCATTTTGTAACAAAGTCCACAATGCAACTAGACTTTAAATAAGCATAAAAGACAAAGGAACCAAACAGATACATATTAAAATCTAGATAGAAAAGAAATAATAAAAGTAATATGGCCTTTTCATGTCGAACTTAAGCAGCTAATAATTGATTCTGATAAGAATCAAAAGATGTAAGTTGTGATGTTAGCAACTCACACCACAAAGAAGATAACCATATGAAAAGCAGCAGGGCAACTAACCTCCAGAACTTTCATCATGTAATCATTAAAAAAAATTAGGTTATCCTTCTGAGCTTCTTGGACCGCAGAGACCATTGCCATTTCATGGATCTGTTTTGCAGCTCCCAAGATTACAACATCAAGCATTATTATCCTTTATCGTATGAAGTAAAATAGAGCAATGCACAAAATATAATGATGCAGTTGGATATTACAAAAGTATCAAACTGACAAAGAAAAAAAGATCAAACAGCAGAAAAAGATATGAGATATCCTGAGATGATGATGCATTTCAAGCGAAACAGAAGGTGATTCGTGGAGATGCTGAAATGTATTCCTTTACTCATTACTGGGAGGGAGAGAAAACAACACTAGGTAGAGAATACCCATTTTGAAAAAACTTAAATTGGATTACGAGTACTACTCCAGAGCACACTGCGCAGAAAAACATCTAAAAGGTCTTGCAAAACACACAAATGCAATTTGTGGCTTTTACAAGTACTTTACAACTCCTAAAATCCACAATAAAAAAAAACCACAACTATAAGAACAATCTCTCTTTGGTTGCAGGATCTCCTTATCGGGGGAAGAGTGTTAAAATCTTTTTGATAAATCAAATTCGTATCATTGATATTGCACCAAGGTAGTACCAAAATAATTGCAATGTAAATAAGTAGCTAAACAACCATCTTCTAACACGTTGCACGAAACATCTATGCATACGAGCATTTTCTCCTTACACCAAATGAAAATATGAAAGAGAAATGACTTTACAACACTGCTAATTTGCTACCCTCTCTCCCCCAGGAATATTCCCCGTTAACACCACTAATCGTTCCAAAATAATGGATTAAGGTATAACTGGTTGTCACTCTAACAAGGTATCATTCTCTCGTATACGATGATATCATCCCTCATCTACACTCCCTGAACATCACCATTTTCCCTTCTCCAATTCCCATCCAGCTCATGCAGTCTGACTTTGCTTCTCAAAAGGAGTATTATAATAGAAACCTAGTTACTAACTTACTATAACAAAGTATCAATCTCTTGTATTCAATAATATCATCTCTCATCTCCAATCCCTCAATATCCCTCAATAACCCACAAATAAAAAACAATAAATACCCAAATACTATAAAAGTTTGTGCTTCTGCTACTAAGAAAAGAAAAACCCAACTTTTATAATTAACACAAAATTACTACTCGATTTCGTTAGAGAAAGAGATAGCGAGAGACTAGATGCTGGCAAGACCGCAAATCAAAAATAGTTTACTACTCAATTTTTTCGGAGAGGTGGATGTTGAGGATGTTGAGGTGGATGTTGAGGTGGATGTGCGGGCATACGAGGATGGATAAGATTAGGAATGAAGATATTCGAGAGAAGGTGGGCGTGGCCCCCATGGAGGACAAGATGCGGGAAGTAAGACTCAGATGGTTCGGGCACATTCAGAGGAGGAGCACTGATGCACCGGTGAGGAGGTGTGAGCGACTGGCTGTAGTGGGCACGCGGAGAGGTAGAGGAAGACCTAAGAAGTATTGGGGGNACGTGAGGAGGTGTGAGCGACTGGCTGTAGTGGGCACGCGGAGAGGTAGAGGGCGATCTAAGAAGTATTGGGGAGAGTTGATCAGACAGAACATGATGCGACTTAGGATTACTGAGGACATGACCCTTGACAGAGAATTATGGAGGTCGAGCATTAAGGTTGTAGGTTAGGGGAAAGTTGTGAATATTTCTACAGCACAATAGAGTGAGACTAGCTAGTTAGGAGTTAGACTAAGAATGTCATTGGTCGTCTGTTGATGCAGGGCTTTACCTGATAGTTTTTACTATACCAACTATTTATTTCGTATTTCGTATTCTGTATTTCATATCTCTTATATTGCTGTTATTGTATTATGCATTTTTTATGGTACTAATATATGTTGCTTTTTTTTTAGCCGAGGGTCTCCTGGAAACAGCCTCTCTACCCTTCGGGGTAGGGGTAAGGTCTGCGTACATATTACCCTCCCCAGACCCCACTTGTGGGATTATACTGGGTTGTTGTTGTTGTTGTTGTTGTTACTCAATTTTTTCGGAGGCCGAGAGAAGTTCAGCATCGGACTGAAAACTCGGAACCCCCGCTGACTCCTCACCACAGACTATTACTGTATGAATTTCTTATATAGATTTTAACGGGGTCACAAAAATTATAGGTGAAATATGTGAAAGCATTGAAATTATCAGTCTCGCTAATTGTATATACCATCGAAAAGGGATTTGAGTTTGAGATAGGAGCACGTACCTGATGGAGTCACGATTTCTGATTAGGGCTTTTGTGTTGCTATCAGATGGATCAAAATTTGTGATTTGAGCGGTTTGAATTGAGAGATTTGAGCAAAGAGGAAATTGAGAGGGATAATTTTCTATATCTATAGAGAGATGAGCAAGAGAAGAGGACCAACATCAATGTGTGCTGCTTTTTTCATTTAATAAGAGTAGTTTTTCTTAAAAGCTTTTATTAGTGTTAGAGGCGACTGACTCGCCACAAAAAGGCCTTCAGAGGCGACAGTATAAAAGTCGCTCAAAACTCTCAAGACAAAAATTCGTTCTTAGCGGGAAAGAAAAATTGAGTGTTTAGCTTAACGTATTAGGAGCGACCTTTGAAAACTCGCCACTAAAAGTTTACCTTCTGTTGCGATAATTATAGTCGCCACAAAAAGTCTAGCTTTTGCTACAATAAATCAAGTCGCCACTAAATATTGCCACAATAAGTCTGATTTCTTGTAGTGGTTGATTTTGACACACTCACCAACAATGTACAAGGTTGGTTTTCACTCGCTCACCAACAACGACACTTTGGTTTTCACTAGCTTACCAAGAAAACGAACAATGACACAACCTCTCAATATTTCTCTCTTTCTCTCTATTTTTTATGATACTTGTAAAATTAAGAATACAGTGCTTAACTAAGGTGTAGAAAGAATAGGAAAGTTGTCTACGAAGCTGGTGCATTTCTTCTTCCCGAGCTGCTCCTATTTATAGTGCCTTTGATTTTGATTGTTGCTAATAGCAAATCTAGATCCCTTTGAATATTCCTTTGAGTTGATTCGTCAGCAAGATGATTTTTGCCTTAATAAATGCGTGGATGTCACTACCCAAAATTCTTATCCGTCGTGATGGCGCCTAACACACTAACTAGGCTAGCCGAAACATGATAACGAAGGCAAAAAGAATAACGAAATTTATAGAAATAGCATAAGTCTGAGGTCTCAATACAGTATAACTGCTAACACAAAGTAAATCCCCCAAAATCTGGTAAATACATAGTTATGAGCTTCTATAACAAAATACAAGTCTGAAACTGAACAATAAATACAGTGAATGAACTGTAACAACAACATGAAAGGTGTACTATCATAGCTCAAATCGGTAATTTCATCAGCGAATAACATTTATCAGTTCATTGGGGGATTAAACCCTTATGTAGCCTCAAACATGGCTCAAACAATTCATAAAAATGTCAAAAAAGTGCAAAGCATCATAGCTTAAGGTTTAACAGTCAATTATAGGCTCAAAATAGCTTGGGCACAATCCGAGCATGAATAAATAACCCTGATGTCAGCACATGGGTTCAACCCCATGCATGTGCGCATCCAATAGCACGTAACTATCACAATAATTCAAGTAACTAATGTCTCACCCAAGTTTAGATAAGATACATACCTCGAGTAAATCAAATCGCTCTGCTACCAAGCCCTTTGCATGTGTATCAATCTCCGGGAGGCTTGAATCTAGCCAAAAACATCGTAATACTATCAATAAAAGCTATAGGAATTGATTCCAAATGATAAAGGGTAAGATCTTTAACCAAAAATCAAAAGCCAACCCAAAAGTCAACCCTAAGCCCACGCCTCGGAACCCAACAAAATATACAAAATCCAAATATATATTCACTAACGAGTCAAGCCATACCAAAATCATCCAATTCCCACCATAAATCGACCATCAAACCCCCAAATCTCACTCTCCAATCCCTAGTCTAAAATTTCCTAAATCTCACCTTAAAACACATAATGTAGGTGGGAAATTCAATGAGTATACAATATTAATGAATAAATGTTTACCTTAAAAATGGTAATTATAATTAGATTTGATTTTGTGGTTCTAAAAATACGTGATCTATTTTTATGCTAGTTGTTTAGGCAATAGATGCTAAGTAGGAGATTAGAGAGTGATATAAGAGCTTGTAGATAGTATAATGATCAAACTGAATGGCTGGAGATCGAGGCCTCGAGCTGGCATATACGGGCCTCGAGGTCGAGTCGGATGCTCGGCTAGGGGTAATCGAGGGGGATTAACAGTTATAAGAGCTACGATTGTGGCTCTTTATGATCAATAATGAACAATAAATGAAGAACAATAAATAGAACTTAATAGATATGAGCAATAAATATAAGTGATTAGAACAAGAGAATATGTTAAAAAGCAGAGTGAATGTTCTTGTATATTCAATATTGAGTATGCGGTCCCTTGCAAAGTGACAAGGATCCCATTTAAATATCAAGGGAAATTCCAACATAGTACAAATGCATTTATTACAAAGATCTGAGCTGGTACAGCCATTTAATGCCATGATATAGGTCTGAACTAGCTTACTAGGCTTTGTCAGCTCTAGTCGTGCGCCTAGGGAACTTCCCACTTTTTCACCATAACTATCGACCTGCACTGTCTCGAGGTCGGACGTTGTTAACCCCTCGGGTGTAAATCTCGATCGTACCCTTGAGCCTTTGGAGAATGTGCTTGTGAAGCGTCGTAATGGACGAAAATTGGACCCTCCGATTTTACCGCATACATATAGTCCTCACGTTTTCTTAGAGTAAAACGAAGGGAAATGTCCTCGAGATCCTGCCCTTCTAGTGCCTCCATCGAAACAAATAGTTATGTCCTTCCAAGTAACTGATGTAATAGACAAGGCTTCTAGAGGTCGCGTTCACACAACCCCCAAAATCTCTAAATTAATTATAGTAGTTGTCTGTCTTTTGGTCTGCTCCAACCGCATGTGTTAGGCCTCTATAAGTATTCGCTTCTTCACCCTTCCTTTCTACTGCATCATCAGGCTCCCAATAGAGTTTTTCTTTCCTCTTACCTCTCTCACGTGCCTTTTCCTAAGATGTGATCTTTAGTTTCTTATTTGTAATCCCCTGGTAAAATGACAAACACTTCAGCCTCCATCCCTCAGAGAGATATGCCTTCCTCTTCCACGCTTTCTTCTATCTCCTAGCGCTGGAGAGGGTGTTCTAGGGGCCTTTGAGGTGACCTTTGATTTCAAGGTCGAGTGACCTTCTTCAAAGCCGGGGCAATGCGAACCCGCGTCCCGATACGTCAGTTTATAAACAAACATAGAAATGGTGAAAATTAAATGTCACTGGGGGATGCAGTACTAGTGGAGGTTCCTCTAGGGGGGAGGATGTAACGGCGTATACGACTGACTTCCTCAGTGTGTATACTTATCCATTTACCCTCGACCCGGCGGTGCCCTCCCTGCCTTTGATTGACCCCATGATCCTTGAATTTTGCGAACGACATCAAGTGACTCTCAGCCAAATTCATCCGTTATTTTGGCGTATCGTTCACATGACCAGGTATTACATGAATATGATCGAGGGGGTGACCTTCACCCTTGACCATTTGATCAAAATATACAGTCCCTGACTATTTTGCGGGGGCCTGATAAAGCTCCGTTATCGGGCCTCGAGGTCCCTCTTTGCTTTCACCGACAAGTCTAGGAACGAGGGTTGGATGAGCCACTTCGTCCGAGTTAGGACTTTGGACTTGATCCCGCAGAGAGGATGCCATTCCCCGAAAGATGGAACATGAAGCGCAAGTAGCCATACTTAATTAACTGCCCATCGCTTTCTTTGGATATATTTCTTTTGTAGACCAACTCCTTCCTTTGATACAACTGCCTCGGTGTACCCTGATACGGTAAGGAATCTTTCAGGCTGGGTTGCTGAACTAGAATCGATTTGCCCATACATTGAGCGCGTGTGGTGCGATTTATCTAAGGCTCGATGTGAAGCCAAGGATCACGATGGGATTTCTTTTTCTGCTATAGTTTCAGTTTTACAAAGGTTGTTGCTAATTGCGCTCTCATTCCCCATGCTCATTTTTGTATTTGGGCAAGTCTGGGGGAGGCTTTATTGATGAAAGAAACTCAACCTGGGGAAGCGGGTGCGCCAACACCCGATGAAAAGAGGAAAAGGTGAGGGGGGTCGCCGTCTTGTTCTCCGAAATCCAAGAAAACTAGAGTGGAAGACCCTAAGGATGGTTCAACGATCTTAATTCGAGAAAGGTAGGAGAGTCCCTAAGCCGGAGGGCAAGGGAAAGATGATCCTTTGACAGCACCAAAAAGGGGAGATGATTTGACTGTCTCCCATACTGTTGAGTCGGCGGCCTCCAAATCGCGGCTCGGTTCCGTCGCCGCCCTGTTTCGGGTTGAAGAGGCATGCGAGGGTGTATCGAATGCTATTGTCGATAGCCAAAATTTCCCTCGAACCAAGGTGCGTTTGTCAGGCTATCTAGGGGAGCCCAATTCCGAAGTTCATTAGAGGCAAATGGCAGCCCTGACTGACCCAGTCGAGGTTGTTGAAGTGAGTGATTCCCCTTCTGAATTGGCCTTTCCCCCAACAGAGGTGCAAGATATCCCCAATGTAAAGTCTCTCGGTGTGGGGACGCCCATTGGTGATAGAGGCGTGTTCGAAATGCCTTCTACTGCGCCTAAGGAAAAGCCCGAGTTTGATATTTTGCTTATTTTTACTGAGATCGATAGGCTATGAGAGTAGGTAATCTATTTGTAGATTCTTCTTGGTGCCCTGACCTTTGCCTTTCTAACCTTATTTCTTCCATGGTTCCAGGCCAAGGTGCTTTATGACCAAACGTTCGCCAATTTTGAAACTGAGCTGACTCACCGCGAGGGCAAACATAAGAATCTTACCTTGGAAACCGATGAGCTCAGGGCTCTTTCTACTAAGAGGGAGGATGAACTCTGCGGCCTTCAGGATTGTATGGAGGCAGCGTCCCGGGAAAAGGCTCGTCTTATTGAACATGTTACATAACTCCTATCTATTTTTTTGTCTGTACGTCTGACTGACTTCCGTACTATAATATCTTTGGGTTGATTTTTGCAGTTTAAGGAGAAGGATGTCTTTATGGGGAAGGATCTACGAGCCATGGACTCCGAAATTCTCGAGCTTAAGTGGCATCTGAGTGAGGTAATCTCTGAGAGAGATGTCCTCCGTGGAGAGCTGGTTTCGATCAGGCATTGCCTCGAAGATACGAGGGCTGAGAGCAGTAAGTATAAGAATCTCCATACTGCGTTGGTTGCTACATTATCCGAGGTCAGGTCTGAGGCCGAGGCGCTCGTGGCCTCGCATAAGGAAGATGCTGCTACTACAAATGCTCATACCCGGAAGGTGTCCGAAGAGGTTGAGCTACGCTTAACTCGAGTAATGGATTATGCCCGATTAAAGTCTCAGAG